CAGGGAGGTTAAATAGACTTTCTGCAAAAGTACAAAGGTTCTTTTTCTGTTGTAGTACAGATAATAATTTGAAGTAGTGAGAAGTACATCTGCTTCCAATCTGCTACTGATCAACTTTACTAACAATATAAAGTCACAAGGGTTGGCCTAAGGATGTGGCACAGCTGTTTATTCTACTATTTGTTTAACACTGCTTTTATTGTTATCATGGCATTACTTTTTGTAGAAACACTAAGTAAAAACATTTAACAGCATTGTCTATAACAAACAAAATAATACTCTGTCATATAATTTCTCTGAGAGGGGATACAATCTACATTTTTAACAGTGAGAAGCAGATGCAGAGGAAAATCCATGTACTAAGCCTTACACACAAAGACTCCAACCATCACAGAACTTCCTGTTATTACACATATGCTTACTAATAAATAAATGCTGTTGTTGCAGATCAGATGCAGTTGGTAGCAGAGTTTTAGTGACATTTGCATCATCAACCTAAAAAGTTGGCTTAGAAGGTAGCCTTAGGAGAGGCTGAGGCAAGATGCTGTTTCAAATCTTGCACAGAGAGGTGGTGTGCCATATGCTGCCTTTAAGGATCTCAAGCTGTCAAGTGAAGAGCAGTGCTGATGCTGACAAATGATATTTATCTGAAGCTGGTCTGCTGTTTTCTTCATAGCATAAAGATCACAAACCTTATCAGACGGTCCTTGTACTGGGCAGCCAGAAACTCACTGAGCTCAGAGACTCCATTTCCTGCGTCAGTGACCTCCAGATAGGCGGCGAGTTCAGCAGTCAGCCAGATCAAGCACCAGAGCACATCAGCAAGGTAAAACCTCCTGTGTGGAACCCTCTATATATGTAGAAGCTTTGAAAATATATGGGAGAGAGGGATGCAGAGTTTTGTTGTGTTTTCTTCAGCATTAAATCCAGTTGCGTTGGTTCTACCTGCGGGTTGCACTGCAACTAAGTACTTAGTGTTGGCATTACTAAGCTGACCTGTTTTGTGTGATGTCAAGGAAAGTGTCATTAATACTACTGGCTTGAAAGTAGTAACACTGGTAGTGAGTTCTTGCATAGATGTATCCCTGTGGATCTACTTTACTTTGAGCTATATTCTGAAACACCAGAGGTAATAAAAAGCTAAATGCAGACTGTTGCCCTCTG